AAAGAAATCTCCATTCCTGTTGTGTATTAACAAGATGCCTCTACCACTAGTGAGTGGGCTTACTTATTTGTCTGATGCATAAAAACAGTGTATAGGCAAATGCATCACATTTGTATGAGAAAACAATTTTTTTTTTTTATAAGGGCTATTGTTGCTTTGTCTTTTCCCTGTTTCTCTACAGAGGAATGGATACTGGTGCTGAAGGAGAAGCTATAAACTGGGCTTTGCCATTTCAAGTGAAATTTGCATTAGATGTGTATCCTTCTATCCATGTGGTGCTTGCTGCAGGTGTGTGCTGTGAGTCCCTGCTGGATGGCAGTGGGAAGCTGTCCTCCGTAGGTGCCAGGCTCAGCCAGGGTGCTTGACATGAGGGCAGCTGACTTGTCACTTGGGTACCACTGTGCTGGGGAGGGAATGAGTGATCTTGGTCTGGTGTCTGGGAGAGACACTGGGGATGCTAACTGTCTGGAGGCCAACTTGGAAGTCAGCATGTCTCTAGCAACTTGAGTTCATGCTTGATATCAAGACATGTTTTTTCTTATCTGCACTTCAAGTGAGAGCTGCAGTGCCCGTGGGTTTGCTCTAACTTTCAGTGAAGTCAGGTGCATGTTTCTGAGCATCATGGTCCTGAGAAACTTCAACGGCAGTTGGTGAGGCTGCCTGGAGGCCATGCCAACTCACTTCTTGAGAGGTGGGTGCGAGTGCAGCTCTGCAAGGAAGCGGGTGCTGCGTTGCACAGGGCTCCTTCCTACTTTGGGAGGTGACATAAAATGCCTTGGAGTCACATTGTCTTATATTCTACTTACTAAACTTAGCCTGTTACAAGACTTTGCAGAATGTTTGGAGTGTTCTTGTAGTTACTTCTATGTTTCCATGTCTTTCTGCGGAAAAGAGTTGATAGTAACTGTTTCTTATGTTTTAAAATTGCAAATGTTTTCCTCTAATGACAGAATAACTCTTGCTAACTAAAATGCAGTAGTGGTAGAGATATATCTATACTTGTATTTTGCATGCTAATCTTGGATACTAGGTATCATGAAAACATAGGAAGACTTTTTATTTCTTTGTATTTTACCACTTCTTAGGGGAGATACAGTCTAAATCCTTTGTATATTACATTGTGCTTTGTAAGGTTTAAAGCGTTTGCTAGTAGTCAAAAGGGGTGGCTGATACAATGCATTTTGTTCTTGGTTCTGCCCTGGTTCTGTTTGAAGTTCTCAGATTTGCTCCTAGCAAATTGCCAGTCTCTTGCCAACTATAACTTTATCTGTGACCATCTGTAGAGTAGCACTGATTGAAAGTTAAGAGAATATTTTTTGAAATGTTGGAGCACTGCTGAGAGCGCAGAGCTTAATTATAGAGCAATGCTAAAATACTTTGATGTATCCTTAATATGCAAATTTGTCTGCTGAATACCTTAGTTCAAGATACTCGAGCTGTCTTTAAAGCCAGCTTCCTTTTGTGTATGTGTGGCTGGAAGAGTGGGAGCGGGTGCACAGAGAAAGAAAAGAAAGAGGCTTTTAAAGATCTCACTGGTTGGTCTCCAGGGCACAGTGGGTTAGAAGCAGACAGGTTGCAGCCTGAAACTAGGCAGCAGCAGTGTTTGTAGATTCCTTGTTTCCAAGGGATTTTACTTTACCTTCAGACTCATTGCAAGATGTGATTTGTCATAACCTATCTTCAGCTGTTCAATATGATCTGCCTGGGCTAAGACAATTGGTCTCCTTCTGTAATCACCAGAGTGAGATAAATTTGCTTTTGACATCGGTGTTTAGGTAAGATGAATTGCCTCCATTGACTATTAAAGAAGACTTGAGGGTGCCTATAGCTAAATCACTTGTCTTGTAGGTGGTTGAAATGCACTGAAATCTCATCCAAAGCTGCTTACTTCCTAGCATTCAGTCTTCTCATCTGAAGAACGGAGTACTTGGTGATAAGGAGCGAATTAAACCTCCACTGCCCCAGAATCCCATCCAAGATACTGCAGCTTGTTTTTAACTAAGAGTGCATCCCTCCAGCTGAATCAAGCTGTGGATTGCAGCTGTCACTGAAGTTACACTGAGAAAAGCCTGGTAGTCATTGCTGCAATCTCTTCTTGCCATCATGGCCTAGGCTGACAAACTTGTAGGTTTTTATCAGTAATAAACTGAACAGAAAGAATTGAAAATGCTTGAACTGCATTTAGGTTAGCCCTGAGGCTGGTCAAGCAGTTGGACTTGGTGAAAGTAGGTCCCTTCCAAATGAATTCTTCTATTCTGAGCAGGAAATATTTGCCATCCCCAGCCCTCTCATAGTTCCCCCCATCAAACTAAAATAAAATAAAACAAAATGTGTGTGTATGGGAAGAAAAAGGAATTAAAATGAAACTGGCTTCCTTTGGCCAGAGGATAACCATTAGTTCCCTTTAATGAAGGCATTGAGCTCTGCATCTATTCCTTCTATGTAGTTTTTTTTTTCAGTAAGCGCTTCATTATTTTTGGTCTTCACTGGATTCAGCTTCTGTGCCAGTGAATCCCAAGTCTGCACATTCCCTCCCAGCCAGTGCCCCATGGCCATATTGCTGGCTCTCCTGCATGGTTCGTTAATGAGAGGGCAAAAAATGCCCTCAGTGTGTTCTCTGCACATTCTCTGACAGAAATCTAGCAGCTGGCCTCTTTGTGCCCGAACCTTTCAGAACATTTTCCCCAGGCAGATGTAGGTATCCAAGGTATCGCACACCTTCCTTTTTGTGCCAAAAAGACTCTCTGCCTTTTAGCTTTTTGGGACATGTGACTCAATGTTGATGAGAGCCTTCTTTGTGCCTTGTTATTCTATATCTGTCAGCTCCCCCCTCGGCCTTTCAGGTTCCTGCCTGGCTCCCCATATATCTGTGCGTGGCCTTTCATAAATCCTAGTTACTCTGCATGTATGCCCTATTGCCAGCTTTCCCTCTCAGCCTGTCTCAGTTAACATGAAGCTTGCTGGAGCTGGATGCAGGGATGCATTTGTTGCACTTTTTGCATGCTGGGAGAATGCTTGGAGAGTAGTGTAGAAGATTCAGTGTTTCTGACTCTGACAGATATTCTTGTGGGTGGTTTTCTTAGCTTGTAAATTTTTTAAAAAGATGTTTAGGTCTGTTTCTCAATTCAAGAGACTACTATCTGTTTCTTAATATATTTATTATATCATAAATACCTTGTTGAGCAGTTTGTAACTGAAGGTGAACAAAATTTTTGATTTCCTTTCTGTTGTCCTGTTGGAATAAGATGAAAAAAAACCCCACAACCATTCAGATGCAGTGAGTCCCCATACCAGCAAATCAGCACGCTGCATTTTAGTCATTGTACTAATTGCTAGTGGCCTCGTCACAAAAGGCTTACTATAGTCTTCTTGTTAATGTAAGAGCATGTTACATTCCCTTTTCATTAAATTTGGAAGTCTTCCCACTCTCATTAGGCTTATTCTGCAGGATCCATGTTTTAGCAACTGTGCAAAAGAATGCTTTTCCTTACATGCAGATGGTTTTGAGCTTGACAATTTCCCTGAATAATTTTTATGTGATCAGTTTTAGTCTCTTTGTTAATGATGACTTTTTGCTGCTTGTTAATATCTACATAAATATTTTTACCTGGTACCTTAATAAAAATAAAAGTGTTAACCTCTTAGATGTTCTATTCAGTGGTCTTTACATGTGATCTGTTGCATGCTTCTTGGTACATTTCTACAGCATGTGCATTTGTGCTGTATGTTCAGCTGTTGATATTGCACATGCATGCTATTGAGAGAATTTGGAGCCTTCTAGGATGAGAACTACCATTTCTGGATGAGGTGAGCTGTATTTGGCTCACTGTGGCATTCTAGCAGTGTTTTGCAGTAGTCTATTTCTTCAAAGAGCATCAAGAAAATAAAAGCTCTTTATCTGATTTCAGTAACATTTACAAATAGTTACAGAAGAGAACTTTTGATAGAGTAATATGTAGAGACACAGGATGAGAGTGGAGTTTGGAGGAGAGTATACCTATGGAGCAATTGATTTGCCAATTTTGGAAAGTAAAATGATTTCAGAATTGTGACTGAGATTAAATTTGGTGAATTCTGGCTTTTTTTCTGATTATTTGTACTCCAGAGTGGCGCTTCATGCTGTCATACCTGCTGCATATCAGAAATTACACTGGCATCAGAAACATCGCTCTCTTACAGCATGGATTCCTTTTTCTTTACAGAAATTCACAGACAATTCTGTGATGGCTGAATAAGGAAAAGGAAGTTGGGAAGAAATATCCCTTGTTAATGAAAGAAGACAGGGGTTGGTTTGGTTTTTTTCTTATGCTAGCTATTTATGGGACAGAATTTACTTGTTGTGCTTTAAGAAAGAGTACTGTAGGATAATGTTAATGCATGGACCATGATTTGGGATATAAAATAGGAGATAAAAAAAAGATAATGAAGGAAAATCAGGATAATAACAGCAGTATAGTAGTACCAAAGCAAACGGAAGAGGTGTGCTGCTTGAGAGTAAGGCATGTTGTCCATGTAAAGGAAAAGGTGAGATTTCATTCCTACTCACTTGAAAGCAGCAATGAACTATTGTTTTTCTGCCTCGTGGCCCTTGTCCCTCAATCTTACAGGCTGTGCTGTGTGAATTGAAGTCACTAAGTTCAGTTTGTGCTACCAAATTTTGCTTACAAAAGTGAACTTGAAAGATAGGAATCCCATTTCAGGAAGGGTTATTAAAATATTGAGTGATTCCTGTGGGCACTGGATAAATATTGAGCAGTGTATTTACTAAGTGATTTTCAAAAGTCTTTATTCTTTTAATCTCTTATGCTATTATAATATGAAGTGATAAAGAATAACATGTTGTTTCATTGAAATTTTCAGGAGAACGAGAACATTTTTTTCTCACCTAAGCAGAATTTATTAGACTCTAGTCAGAAGACAACATGGCTAATCCTTCTCCTTAAACTAGTAAACTGTTGTAGTTTTTGTCTTTATTCAGTGTTTTGTATCTTCTCTTCTAGGTGGCTGTTGCTTCTCTTGGGGATGGAACGAACATGGGATGTGTGGTGACGGCACAGAAGCAAACATTCATGTGCCAAAGCCAGTGAAAGCTCTTGGTTATGCAGAACAGATCTTAATTGGATGTGGGGCAGGACACTCCTTGGCTCTTTGTCAAAACTCCACGTTAGACTCAGGACACCAGAAATCTTAGCAACATGGATGTGGATGGACGTCGTTGGGTTGCGTAGCTCAGAAGTTCTTCAAGAAGATTGCCTGAGATTAACATGGCAGCTGGAAAGTGCGGAAGTTTGTTCCCAAACTATAAGAAATGAGCGTGCTTAGAACAGTATGGGAAAAATAAAAATCAAACAGTTATTTTAAAAAATTATGTCATGGGTTCTTTGTACAGGAACTAACTTTCTTACCCACAGGTAGAATGACGTTTTGCCTTGATGCAATATTGAAGAATGAATGACTCTTTCTTGTCTTTTTAAGAAGTCTTTGAGGAGGAAACTGCCTGTCTAATCACTTATCATTAGTGTAAAAATTCAGTCTAATGTAAAAAAAAAAAGATTGAGGAAACAGTGTGAGAAGGTGGAAACATGGGGCCAGCTCTGGTCTTTTATTAATGTATCTGCATGTCACGATGAGCATGTGTTGCACCTGCCAGCTTTTATTGAAGTTTTGATCTCCCAGCATCTTAAGAAATCCAGTTGAAAAGAGAAATGCCAGTGAACATAAATAGAGGCATATGCACATTTTAAACACAAGATCAGGATTTTGAGAAAGTAGATACGATTTAGAAGACTGGCAAAAGGAGAAAATGAGGCCCTTCTGAAATAAGCTACGTGTTGATTAAACTGAGAGGAACAGCGTTTCTGAGGAATTATCTTCTGTGCCAGACATCCATTCAATATATATCCACAGGGCTGCAGATCCACACAAATTATTATTAACTTGAAAATTAAACCTAAAGTTCTTGAAGCTACTGATAGGAAAGAGAATCTTCTGAGAGCCCTTGGAAACAACAGAAGAGGTCTTGTCAAAGAGCGTAAGTCAGTTGTAGCTGCTGAGGACAGTTTGATCCAACATAGCTGACGTATTTGTAGCTGCAGTCGAATAGGAAGGCTTCCAGATATAAACAGAAACTTTTTACAAGTTCTCTAGCTTAAAAGGCAGACCAGAATGCTCCTGGTAGTGTCAGCTTTCGCATCAGCTTGGCAGTCCATCTGAGGTTCTGATCAGTGTGCCCACAATACTAGCCCCAGGTGAGTGCTGGGTAGAGAAACATATGCCTTACACTGATTGTGGTGGGAGAAAAGTGTAAGTTGTCTTCAGGTACTATTAACTGCCTATGGTGAGCAGAATTTTGGAAGCTATTTATAGAACTCTTTCACACAAATGCAGTGGATGCCATTAAACTAGATGTTTACCACCCACGATAGTTAAATTTGCTGTGATATTTGATGTATGTCAAGTTCTAAATATAGGGAGTACTACTGTGTGGTAAACACACCTTTTAATGAGAACTACTGTTACTAAACAGTGGTTTAATTTTTAAATGAGGGTTTGCCAGGGAGGAGGCTTTATAGAATTGCAAAATACTAAGAGAAGGGCTGTTAGAAAATAGGATGGCAAAACTGTATTGACCTGTCAGCTAACTCACAAGGGGGAGGGAGGTATATGGGCTCTGAGGTTTTTTCTCCTTGCTCTTTCAGTGGTTACAGTTCATGGCCTCATTTTCAGATGTTTTGTCTTTCTGTTCAGTGGAGAAGAAATCTGTAGTAAGAAGCTGGTTATAACTGCATTGCAGATACTGAAGGAAACTGTTAGAATAACAGAATGGGACCAACTGCAAAAAGTGCAAAATTGAATCTTCCACTGTATGCAAGATTTAATCTTCCATTTTCTCATCTCTGTCGGTTGTGGTTCTTCACAGTAATACCCTGTTCTAGACTGCTACTTCAGACACTTTTTACTTCTCTGACCAGGCTGCTATTTATTGACTCCTCAGTACTATTTTCTGCCTAAAACAACCTCTCTGATACATGCATTGAACAGTTGCTCATGCTTTTTAGGCAGTTTCATCTGGAGTTCCTTCTTTCATTTTCCTCATATCTGTGCACTGAATAAACATTATCTTGTTTCAGTGGGAAGTATGCTGAGAATAATTTTGTTCATTGGTTAATGATAGCTAGTATGTGACCCACAGGCCCTAGGTTTTGCTGTATTAGGTGTGTTTTGGTTGAGTAAGCTGTTGGTGCAGTCCCTTTCAGAGGAATCTAACTAATGTAACAAATAAATGGGACGTGGTTATTTGAACTGGTCATTCTTTCATGCTTGCCTTTGGAAATGTGAAGAATGTTTTGACATTTTAAAGAAGAAAGTGTCTGTTTATTTGTTCCTGGTTCTGTTCTTGAGTTTCATGTTGCCTGTGTTGTTAATCTTTTCAAAGGAGGGGAACTGCATTTTCTCTGTTTCTTTCTCTTGCCTATATATATTGAAAACACTGGGAAGTAATATCTTGTCTTGAGAACTTGATGTACTACATACATCCTTTGCAGTTAGTCAGGATCTCAAGATGCTGCTGTAGTACGAAGAATGAATGACAGCTTATTGAAGACTGTATGTGGTTGAATGTGGAAAAAGTTATTCATTCAGAAACGAATGCTATGTTTTGTATGTCAGCATGCTTTGTTTGCAGAATAAAACATTGTACAGTATCAGCAGAGTCTTTCTGCCCTAAGGAAGGGAGCACACAGTGGAAGGCTTTCAGTCAAGCAAAGAAATGCTCTTTGTTGCTGCTGCTCAGGAGATATTGCTGATCGGTGTCCCGGAGAAGGTCAGTCTTTGCAAAGCAAAATGCAGAGCCAGCATGCTATGCTAATGTTTCTGCAGTGCAAAGAGGATGTGTTTATGCAGGTCTTTAGTGCTAAACAACCTTTTTTCTTAAGCAAGATACGTTCAGATGCAAATAAGTTAACAAGGTTTGTAATATTTTCCCAGTGTGTAACACTGGAAGAAGGCAAGAAGTGTCTGTTTAGCCATTCTCTCTTCCCTTCTCATGCCAATGAGGTGTGTGTGTGAGGAGATGGATGAAGTTTTGAACTCTTTGCCCTCAGACCAGAGAGATCTTAGGCTTTTGGGCAGAGGAGGCGAAGGAAGCTGCTGTACATATTTCTCTTGTTTGAAGCCATAGGACATCTGCAGTTGCTACACAACCAACCTCCATGTGAACCTGTGCAAGACACTTCTGTGCCATTTTAAAAAATGCTGCAAGTAGGAAGATGCTAGGTTCAGAAGTTTCTTTTTCTTGGAGGATTTGTTTAGGCCACTTAGCAGTCACTAAGTTACTTGACTTTGTGTAGTCCCTTGATTGACTTTATGCTTTTCTGCTTGGAATGTGCTTTGGTTTTGTTTTATCTGACATTTTGGAGACATAAGACTTTAAGTTGGGGATGGAAAACGGAGGAAGGAGGTAAGTTTGGATGTACAGAAGAAAGGAGACTGTGGACAAACAAATGAGTGGCAGTAGAAAAAGCCTAGCATAGTCGGGTAAAGCAGGTGAAGGGAGGGCAGGAATTCAAAATGAAGGCCCTGTACAGCATTCATACTGGTATGATGCAAGTAAGCTGAGGTACAAACACAAGCTGTTCTGCTTTCTGGATGTTATAGCTCTCCCTCTCTCATTGTTTGTTAAGAACATGAATTTTAGACTTGCTGTGAGCTTTTGTTCTTGCACATAAGGCATCTTGAAATTTCCAGTTCTCTTCAGTTGAAACAGCATCATGTGTTCTCACCTTCCAGTCTTGGAAATCTTTAATTCAGACCTGTGAGACCTGCCCAGCACATAAGCTAATCTTTTCTACTTTTCCACTAAATCCCACAAATTCTGGGTCAAACTTTTACCTGACTTTTGCGAGACTTCAAGTCAGTTTCATCGTCAAGATGATGGCAGATCTTTCTCATTACATTGTGGTTATGATTTCACTAAAAAGCCCTCTCCATATGGCAAGCCTCATGCATTTTCTCTTAACTAGATAATGTCTTTTAAAAGGCTCTAAATTTCTTCACCAGTTTTTGGTCATGCTTTTGTTATTTACTATCAGCTTATAGTTGAGAGCAGCTGAAAAGGGAAGAAAAATACTTACGAAGAAAATGTATGACTTGCTTCCCAAAGGCTAGAAATGGTAGATAATCATCTAGTATGGTTTAAAAATATGTACAGTAGAGAATGGGCTTTATGCCAGACTGATAGAAGACTACAGCTGATTCAAAAAATAACTGGAGATTGGAACTTTAGACATATCAAACTCTTAATTTATTTCCAAAAATAACCGTGGAAGTACATGCTTTGTTCTTTTTATAATAGCTTTTGTGTTTTTCTTAATTCCTGATAAATGCTGACATCTTGCTCTGTGTTAGAAAGAACGATTTAATAGTCCTAAAATGAAATGGTTAGTTAGCATGGAAGTGGCCCTAAAATATAACAATAAAGGGAGGTGTTTTCCATTTGCACCTTAGAATTTGATGGAAGAAACTGGGTAGGTGAAGCTGCTGTGGTTATTTTGTAACCCTGCTAGTCAGCTATTCAGTGAACCAAAGGACGTTTTCAGCTGTTTGCTAACTTTGTTCACGGATTCGTCTTTCACTCATTTCTGCATTTGCCCAGTTTTAATGCAGAGGCAATTTTTATTCATTTCTGCCTCTGTGGAACATTGAAAGAAACTATGCGACAGTACTTGGCAGTGAAGATGGTCTTTGAGTATTGGAGCTGTGACCTGGATGAACCTTGTGCTGTGTTATGGGAGAGGGGGGAAAACATGTATTTGCAGAGTTATGGGGAAGATGTTATTCAGTTTAGTTAGCATCAAGAGCAACAAAGTAATTCCTGAATGAAAGCTGGCCATGGAGATGAACATCTATTTTTTTGAAACTTCAGGCATTTTTGGTTTGCGACTTGTTGGATTTTGATTCATTTTCAGGCAAGCCTTTGCAGGTTGGAAACGCCTAAGTCCAATTCCTGTGTTTGTGAGCCTCTCAATTTTCATCTTTCTCCTCTATTTCCAGACTGCTTTTTGTCTATAGACCAACTTGTTACTCATACACAGCACAATCTGTATGATGACAGTTCCCTGATCATCATAATTTAAGTGTATATGAACACTTTGCTGAAAGACTGTTTTTACTCTATTATTATTATTATTATTATTATTATTATTATTATTATTTGAAAGTAGAATCAAGAATTGGGAGATTTTTCATGTTCTGAAATGATTTTTTTTTTTCTTTTGCTTCAAATGACAAATGAGTTTAGCTTTTGTTTTGTTTGTACTGATTTGAATGCATGAAGACGTGTGGTACTTAAATTAGGGCAGCAGAGGAGTTGCCAATCACTAATGAAGATGCTCTGTCATTTTAACTGTGTGGGTGCTTAATCATTCTCCATAATAATACTTTGCTTTAAAGTACTAAAGGAAAGGAATCCCTGTAAGAGCACGGTGTTCTTCTGCAGACCAGGAAGCATGGTGTCTCTTACATAATCTAGTTGCTGCTCTCCTCTGATGCCTTAATTCTGAGTACATAATTATGAAAAACTATTTCTACTTAAATTCTGCTTTTCATCTTTTGTCCTCAGAACACTTTAAAAAGAGGCAACACGGTAGAAACAGGAGATGAGGCACAAAAAATTGACAAGTCCCAGCCAAGGTAACTCAGCATGTCTACAGCAGAACCAAGAATAAAATTCCAGTCTTACGATGCTCAAGCCAGGGCTCTGCTTCAGGCCAGCGGTCCTTGAAGTTTATAGGTCAGCCTCGTGCTCCTACTTTCCTCTCTCCTTGCTTTCTTCATCCTCCCCACTACCCCCACGGCTGGTTCTTCTCATACTCCCAACCCTGCTGTTTGCTCACCCCGCTCTTTAGACCAGTCCGCTGTCCTTCTATTCTCCCTGCACCACTGTCTTCCTGCCATCCCTTCCTCTTTCCATAGCTGTTGGTGTCACATTGCCACAGCTGAGCTGCATGCCTGCAGCCATGTGTGCCCTCAGCGGTAACTGTGCCAATATGACAGCAACGCTCTGCGTGTGGCTGACTGACAAACCCCATGGCGAGCAGTAGAGAAGCCAGTGAAAGCCTTGGAGCACATGCTCTTTGTATGGAGATGTTTGGGCCCTAAGTACTTGCATACAGTTTTGGGAGAGCTGAGGTCTGGAAGCCTGGCCTGCTCAGCCAGGGCCAGGAAACTTCCTGTGTTTTATGTGATAAGCAAAGCAAGTCAAGAGCTACAGTTCCTGGATGTACTTTGTAATTTGAGGCTGAATTTGAATTTAAATATCGCTCTTGATCACAAACAAGCATTCATATTCCCATGAAAGAGAAAGGGTGCACCTACACTCCTAGATGAGTGCAGAAGCTTTGGGGCTTCTGAACAGACAGGTGTTTTATGCCCAAACTCAAATAGATGAGTGACTTAAAAATAACCTACATAATTGAAGCACATCTTCACGAAGTGAAGTTAGTTCCTGGGAGTGCAGAGGCAAAGTTGTTCTCAGCGTATAAATGGAAAGCAGAGCAGGGTGCTGCTGCGCTTTGAATCCACGCAGAGGATATGCAAAGTGGCAGGCTAATAACTGTGCTTGGGATTGCCTCAGGATATCTTTCATAAGCGGCTCAGATCTCAGTTTCCTTGTGAGCGTCCTTGCCTTAGTCCTGCTCGCTCTCTGTTGTATTTCAGTCTTCTCATTTGTCCTAGCAGACATTTGTTTCAGTGATGTATTTTCCTCTTGGACCTGAAACTTTAGGAAGAAAGAAGGCAATTTATGTGAAGAATCACTTTATCCAGATTAATGACTGCTGCGCATGACTGTTACCACAGTGGTAGTAGCTAGGTTCTTTGTTGGAGTGGGGGAGCAGAAACCACTCTTCATGTCCTTGCTGTCTAAAGTGGTAGCTGTGGAGAGTGCTTTGCACAGCTGGGTTGCCCAGGAAAAGAAGGGCACAGGGCTGCACGTGTTTGGCTGGGGTGAGCTGTCTGTGATAGACAGCAGCCCACGGTGAGTGCCAGTCGGAGGAAGCATCAGTATTGAGGCAGGCTCAGCTGGTTGGCTGTCCATTGCTGGGAGATGAGGTTCCAGGGGAAGAAACCGAGATGTTCACTTTCAGCAGGAAAGGGGCAGAGTTCAGCTCAGCTGCTGACTATGCTACTGCTTTTACCTTGGCTGACATTAGAAGCAGTTGGTGGCATTATTGCAAGTGCGAGGCCAGAATTCAGCCACGCATCTTAATTCTTTTATTAAAATATATACCCCCTGTGATGGGAGTGAGCATGTTTGAAGAGTTTAATGTTCTAATAACCCAGAAAACCTCTTTGAATGTAAAGCAGCTTGTACGCTGTGTTAAGTTTCTCACTAAACTCAGTGTCAGGATTTGGTGCAGCAAATCCTACTGAATGTAGGATTATACATCAACTATACATCAACTTTCCAGTTGTTGGTGCTGCTTCTATAGTGCAAGGGGAAGCAGTAGGGTCTTAAGCTGCAGAGCATCTCTTGAGGAGCACCAGGTAGGAAGTGCCATTGAGTTTCTGAAGGTTTTACAGGGAGTGCCTGAAGGCACAGATACCTTGAATTAGAAAAAGGAATACTGAAAGGAAAATGGGGCTGGCAGATGTGGTAGTGCAAAAAGTAGCGCAGAATTACAGTTGCCTTAGGCCACGTGTACCCAACCTGTTCATTATAGCTAAAGCTCATATATATGCAAAGCACTGCAGAAGGGGAAGACCTATGTGGGATTTACAAGGCTGAATTGTTCATGTTCCTTATTATGGTAATGGAGCAGTCTTCACACTAGGCCCTTGAGTTCTAGCATTAAATAAAAAATGTGGGAAATCTATTTCTGGCTTCTTAATATGCTGTAAGAGGGAAAGTTGTTCATTAGACAACTTTTGGATCCTGGATTAACCTGGATCTTGTCTCTGAAGGTAAGAAAATTGTCCGTTCATCGGCTGTGAAAAACAGCTTAACGACAGTAGGAGAAAAATACTTCTTAGGAGAGGGGATAGTTGACTGAAGTAGAAATTGAGTACGTACTGTTAGAAAGCTTCTTTGCAGTCCTTCATCTAATTATGTACTTGTTCACATCATCAGCCTTTCTCCTGTTCCTAAAACACAGCTGGAAGTCTCCTTCATTCTTCGTTCGTAGCAGTTTTATGAAGACAAAGTCCAGCTGCAGTTGGTTTTTGTTGTTGTTGCTTATAGTTCAGCACTTACCGGAGCCATGAGAGTTTCTTATGTTTTTATTTTGTTTTAATCTCTACTTTCTCCAAGCTTTAGGGACGCTGTTCCATTTTCATTCACTTCCGCAGCCCCAGGTGTCAGCTTCTGTCTGAAAGGTTTCTAACTCTTTCAAAGAGCTTCATGTGAGGATAAAGATGGATGTATCCTTCCTTCAAGAAAGTGCTTCTCCAAAATGTTGTTGACACATAGTCCATAGCTGTCATTTCCAGGATCTAAAGTGAAACCCAATCCTATTGTGTTTCTTGGTTCTTACTGCTGCATGTTTTGTGTAGCAAATAAAGCACTACTTGGGCACCTGGATTTCTTTCAGGGTTTTGTATCAGGTGGACTGCTGTGGCTCAATGAAGAACAAGGGAACGATGAGGTCCAAGAAAGTAAGAAACTGAATTCATTTCATCAGCTAAAAAGACAAACTTTTATTATTCTTGGGGAGGGAAAAGGAAGATACCTAGATAATTATAGAGCTTTTTAATCTTTCCTCATAAAATTACTAATGATGTGGATTCTTCAGACATTGGTTGTATCAAGTGTTTGCAGGCTTCATTTATTATCTACTAACCCAAGTTAGCATTTTAGAACCAAAGCAATACCAAGCTTTTCTCCTACAGTTCTGTTGAGAACACTGTATTTATTCAAGGTTTTAGAAGCAAGTCTCTGGAAACCCCTGATCACTTCTGAAAAGGATTCCCTTTAACACTATACAGCAGGCACTGAAACCATGATACAAAATTTATTTCATGCTAGAATTGTTTTGCATAACATTGTGCATGCATTTTTACTCAGTACTAAATTGCATACAATGCTGTTGTCTTGTTTCTTAAACTTTGAGACAATTTATACTTGAGTATTTTCCTGATTTTTGTACTATAAGTCCCAGTTTTAAAATAACACCTTTTTCTTTTTAAAAATTCATACTGATTACTTAATATGAACAATTTATGAAGGGTCTTTACGTTGGATCTATACATCAATAAAATACAACATAACCAGAGCTGGAAAATTAAATCTAGACCAGCTGTTACTGTCAGGTCCGAAGGAAGATCCCATGTGTCACAAGCATGCCAACAAAAACAGACAGAAAATAGTTTCTTATTTTTATACACATCTAGGATTAAAAGTTCTTGATTTCCATGTCGGTGTGATGATCTGTGAAGGCGTGGTCAATATGACCCATGACTGCCTGATTGCACTTTTTAAAACCATTACTCAGTATCTCGTATACAAAAAGAAGCGATCCATAGCAAAGAAATGTACAGTTCTGTTTTACATTTTGGCTACAACAATGTATGTAAAAGTAAAGAGCTTTGAAAGAAAATATATAACTTTGCTTTTTTTTTTTTTTTTTTTTTTTTTTTTTTTTTTTTTT